CCCAGCCATACCCAAAACCACCCCATTCTTCTCATTTAAGAATATTTTCTGAAAAATTATAATTCAATAATAAGCAGTATCTTAACATTATCGCTAGTTTAGCTGTCTGAAAGTTTTTTTACTGACTTGCATGTTTGTAATGACACTTCCTGTTGTTTTTACAAATTGCCTGCTGGATGTAATTTTAGATGATTTATAAATATATAAATACAGATGCCTTCAGTATTCTACAGAAGGTTCCTTTACTGACAATTGTTTTTTTTAAATGTTTTATCAGAAACCCTCTTTAGACTCATTTCACACATTTCCAAGGCAATGGAGCTCTGAGCCAGATTTGGAAAGCTGGTCTTTATGATGATCAGCTGATCCAGAATCACTCCTATGCCCTCCCAGTACACCAACAGGACCTTCACCACTGGTTTGAGAGCCGCTCTTTAGCGATTGGCTTCGGCCACTGGTGCTCATGCTGGATATTCTCCGTCTCTGCTTGTGGATACCATCTCCTGAGGCCGACGAGTTCAGAGCAGATGGATGATCAGCACTGCTCTGTTGTTTTCCTGGTTCTTCTCTATCTTTTGCCCCATTCCTCAAGGATTGTCTGCTACTCCTTCCACTTTCACTTGGATGTTTGAAGTATGCTTCCTCAGCTCGACTTTCTTGAAAGAACTGTGTTTTCTGGAGCTCTGTCTGTGTTGAAAACACACCATGAACTGGACCACATGACATTACCCTGATAAGACACAGTCTATGGTTCTAGTCCTGATCTACAAAAAACCCACAAAGCTTAAAAAAGGCCTTGCTATCTTAAAGAATAGCATTTCCTTAATTGAAATGTATTATGACACACATAAAAACATAGTAGCATGAAGGAAATTTAATTTAAACATTTAAAAGAAGAACCACCACACAAAAAAGCCAGCGACTACTATACATTATTCTTAGCTGCTAAGATGACAAAGGCAGCTTTTCATATTGTAACAAACCTTTTCCTCAAAACATTAATCTTAAAAAGACTGGTTAAAAAAATTATACAGTACATATGGTAAATTAGTGACTCATTAATTGCACAGCACTTGAAGGCCATGTGACTGACTGGCCAAGAAGACAGACTCAGCAGCCTTTTTTAACAGCAATCTTGTTTTCCAGACGCCTTAATTAATTTTAATTGGACAAAATCTCATTATATTAGCATACAGTATAGTCGTCCTTCAAGACTCAATGGTCATTTTTGCAGAGCTCACAATATTTGCATGCTCATTAACCAGGAAAATATACAGAACTAGAACTATAGACTAGCAATGCATTCCATTAGTTTACTGGCTTGAAATTTTACTTACAAATGTTTTACATGCTAATCCTTGAACACTATATTAATTAAAACAAGATTCACTAAATTCTCCATGATTTCACAGACTGAAAATGAATCAAAGCAAATCAATTTCATTTAACAATCTGTGCATTATCAAACATAGTGCTCTTTAGGGACT